CTATATAAAGTAAAACGTAGTGCAAATTATTGCCCTTTACAGAAGGCTTCTGGGTCTTTTTGGTCGTGACCACAAACTTCCTGCAAAAACCCTTCAGCCAAAGCTTTTATGCACATGTTTGGTGAACCTTGCATGGCCTTTGGTTGAGCTGTGCTTCATAATTGAGCTGAGAGCATAAGAAATTAAGTTGTTACCAGCAGACCCCTGTCCTCTCTGCTGGGAAGAGCCTGGCAGTGCAGTCACAGCCAGCAGAAGTCTCCTTGGAAAGTGTAAGCAAAGAGGGAGGAGAGCATTTAGCTTAATAAAATTCCAGTCATTTTGAACAGATCAAGCCTGAAATAGCTGTTATCCTCTCAAATTCAAGGAAGGCCTTCAGCAAGAATTCTCAGGGGCTTTGCTTTGGAAGTTAACAAAAAGACAACCATAAATGGATAAATTTATTTGTGTGGGTTTTTTTCCAAGAAAAAGAAACAGGAATGAAAAAGATTGAAAAGTAACAAGATGCAGACTTTCTAAGCTTGAGATGACCAATCCCACTTTAATAGTGGCAGAAAGGCACGGTGAACAAAACTGTTGACATAAAAACAGCTGTTGTTACTGAGAAGGAATTACCCTTCTTTGCTGAAACTAAATAAAGCAACCTCTTGAGTCTAGAGAAGCCCTGTGTTCAGATTGGCTAAACAGTATTGTTGTGATTCTGTTCGTGTCTGTTAACTGAAGAATGTACACATGATGGTTTCATAACATATTTTTAGAATTTTTACGGGTCTCTAACTGTAGATTGTGCAAAATTAAAGCAAAGGGTGCTGGAAGCTCATTTCCTGGAGAAAGGACAACAGAAGGGGACTCTGACTTGGCTTGTGTCATAGACTGTAAAGTAACTGATTGCTGTGTCAATAAACATAAAGAAAATTGTTTTCAGAGTTCAAGATACAGTGTTGACTCAGAGCTCAGAGAGTATCTGACACTGGAGAGAGTGTCTTTTTAATATCTTGCTGTCAAAGTACCAGGCACAATTTATCATCCAGTTAGGGAAGGAGGCCAAATGACTGGCAGACTTTGCAAAGTCTAGTAAACCTTAAATTAATGCTCTAAGCACAGGCAACCACATATATGAATGACATCCTTTGTCTTTGTTTGGGATGGGGTTTGTAACAGCAAATAAACCCTTTCAGGCTTGCATTCCCACCACTGAATGTCTCCCCACACCTGCTGTAGGTAAAAGCCAACATCACAGAAGAGTGATAGGTATTTATGGCACCATTCAAGTAAAAAAAACTGTAGAAAAAGTCTTGGTGTCTTGCTCTGTGCAGTGGGCTGTGATTGTACCCTTCCAACTTTCACAGCAGTCTGCAGGTGAATCTGGGCAGTTAAAGAAAGTGGTTGAGAACAGCTTGTGAATAAAAATATGAATGATTGTAGTTGCAATTATAGTGCTATCTAGAGACATGAAATCAGTTTGTAGGTCCAGCTTGTATGCTCAGCCCATATAATGTATTTGATTTTTGAGCAGCATTACCTGCATTTTACAGGCTTTGGGAAATGAAGTACAGAAGGACTGAGGTGTTGTTTTCCATCAAGTGTGCAGGAACCTAATTACTGTGAAAGTCAGTGGGAGGCTGGTACCTAAAATCCCTTGCAAATCTATTCCTAAGTAAATTGTCCTGGCTCATGGAGGGAGTTGAGTGTCACTTCTTGAGTGGCAGAATGCCAGAGCACTGTCCTCTGCCAGGTTCAGTTATTTTTCAAAGAACTTGTTGAAAACATATTTCAGAGTAAAGTGTATCTGTCAGCGTGTTCAAAAGTATCATCTCTTTTATGGGAATTTCAAGCTTTAACAGCTACCAAAATAACAATAACAATAAAAAAAGTAATCTTTTTTAGAATTCTTCAGCAAATTAAATGAAGATGAATATGATCAGGACATTCCAACCTGGAGCTGCTCTGCTCCCTCTCTGCCATGTAAGGTTCTGCCCCAGAGCATTACCCTCCACAACCTGTGTTAAAAGTAGGCCTCGAAAAAAGAGCAAGAACTTATCCTGTTATTCTGGATTGTCCAGTTTCTCTCTTCCCACATCCTTTCCACATCCTCTCCTGAATCCTGTGATTAAATGAGCTGACCTTGTGCTCCTCTACAGTTTCTGAAATTAGACTCCAAACCCACCCAGTAACATTGCCTCTGTGTTCTTATTAGTGACAAATTACTGCCTCTGTTTTCTCAGTGACAAATCTCCTAGATGATAGTAGCAATGCAAATTATAGGTTGTCTTCATTTCTGGGATGAATTCCATCATTAATGGTGGACAGATTTGATGTTGTACCTAATTATATTACAAGTGACAGGATGCAGCTGCTGTTGTTCATAGTCTTGAGCTGTTACCACAGTTGAGCACAGCCTATGCTGAGTGTGTGACAGGCTGTTGTACAGCTGTCCAAAACATTTCTGAAAGGGAACAGACTTAACTGCCTGGAAAAAAAAAAAAGAAATTAGGAATCATAATACCATTAAGGTTGGAAAAGATCTCTTAAGATCAGTGTCCAAGGCCTGTGCAGCCAATTTTCTCCAGGAAAATGCTGGGGGAGACATTCTGAGCTCCAGGTAGACACATCCAGAAGTGTCACCCTCTGGGCTTATCCTGTGTGTGTTGTAAATACAGCTGCTCATGGCCCAAGTCATCCTCATTTCAGCCATATACTAAGCCCAGGAATTCTGGCAAGGTCTTTTGCTGAAGTTTGGCCATCCGAGCTGTGAAATGGAGTTTCAAGGCTAAGCTCAGGCACAAATGCCCCCTGTGAAATGAACTGAATGGCTTCATTTCTCAGTGCTGTGGTGCCTGGGGGACATATTTCCCTTTCTTCTGCTTCTTTCCTGGGCTGGGTTGGAAGTTTTGGGGAGCTGACACCACTTGATTCTTATGTGCTGAATGCTGAGGCATGAGAAGGTGCAGAGACACTGTTGTCTTGGTGCTTGACCTTACAAGCTCTGTGGTTAACAAGAAATCCAAAGTGTATCGACTGTGATTGTAAAATCCTCTTTTTTCCTGGCTGTGCAGGCCTCCACATGAACCATCCATTGGTAATTGCACTCTGTCTTTAATGTCCTGGGCTAGGGAATTGTGCATTTATATTATTCCCCGTGGCTTCAACCTCTACTCAGTCACAAACTGGCTCAGTAAAGACTGTCTGCAAAAGCCTGTTTTCCAGAGCTACAGGAAATAGCATGAAAACTGGGATAGGAGCAGGAGTGTGTGTGTTGGTGGGTACACATGCAGGGGAGCAATAGCAGGTCACAGGGGACCGTGCCATTATTATTTTTGTGAGTTTTTGCATAAACAAAAATGTATAAAATCTGCAGTATCCCTCTGCAAAGGTGACCGTGTTTGTTCCCATGATCAGCACTCGTAAAAAAAGGCTTTTCTCCCTGACTTTGCTGACAGAATTTATATCCCCAGAGAGAATTCAAGGAAGCAAACACAGAAATATTAGTGCCGTGTCTCTTTAGGAAGTCTGGACCAAGCAAGATGCACGTCTTGCAAAATATGGTCAGACAAGCAAAAAAACCATGAAACCCGTATTATACACCAACAGCTCTCAGCACTGCACAGCAAACTCTTCCAGCAGAATGTTTAAGGCAAGTTTGGGGATTTTGTAAAAGGAATTTCTCTAGGGTTTGCAGGTAATGAGAAAATCAGGAGAAATGTGAATCAATTAATGCATTCGACAAATGGCCACAGTCTCTATTCCATTTGTGAATGATTTGTCCTAAAGGGATAAGGACCCTTGTCCCATCTGTTCATGCCTCTCTCCTCAGAAGTGTTCAGGACCCATATTAAAATGAAAAGCCCAGAGAAGTACTTCAGGCTGGCTGGCTTTTGTTTGAGCCCTTTGAAATGAGGGGCTGCCTCTGCCGTGGAGTGTTGGCTCTTGAGAGCAGTTGAGCACCAAGTGACAGCCTTCATTTTTAATTTCTCTGCCTTTGTAGTTTGAGGACAGACTCCAATCAGATGTCTGTGCTGATGAAGCACGAAGTACAGCCTGTAATACATCTCTCATTTACCAAGCCAGTGGAGGATACAATAATATTGAAAACAGGAACAGCTCAGTGCTTCTCCTGTGGATTGGGGGGGTGGGGGGTGGGTGCACTTCGTGAGTTTGTTTGTGATTCTTATCAAGAGATCCTGTCTGGTGAAATCACAGTAGCTAAAGGTTAAGGTTACCTGTAAGATCAGTCTTTTCCTTGCAAGTCTGGACATAATGACTTGAGTGAGGAAGTATCTGATACTAAATGTGTATTCTGGGACTGGAGATCTGCCAATCCTTAGGAGGTAAGGGGGAAATTTTGCAGTGGCACTGCTTTAGGAGCCACAGTGAAGAAAATGTTGTTACCAAACTGTAGGTACATGCCCTTTAACCTTAGTGCAGCCCCTGTACTGTTTGGTACAGTGGGAAATTCTCTGTCCTTGAGGTGCACTAAGATACTGCTCTTACTCTAGTTACATTTACACCTAAATTATCAAGTGAAGTGCAGAAATATTGAATGAACCATTCTTTTATTTGAAAACTCGTTACTGGAGGCCAGTTTCTACATTTCCAGAGGGTTATCAATCCTTTGAGTGCTTCTCTAGAGATTATTCCTAAGGCAGATATTTGAATGCATGCATGTCCTTTCAGAACATCCAGTGGTGCACTGCAGACTTGAAGGTCTTAAACACTGCCCAGTGAAGGAGAGGTGGCTTGAACCTTTTGGGGCAGATCTGATTCTGTTTTTTAGAGGTTGTAACATCTGCCCTCCCTTTTGCCAGATGTTGTTTGGCTTTGCTAAATTTCAGACACCGTGGGAGGCTGCCTTATGCTCCACTGCCTTTAAGTGCAGAATTCCAACAGTCCTCTCTGTTGGACCAGAACAAGCTCAGCAGTGCTGCTCAGGCCTTGCAGGGTCAAGCTTATTTGGGAAGCTGTGATTATCTGAAAGCCTTTTTGTCACCTTCTTGCCCCTGCAGTGGCCAGTTTGCCATAGTGAAGAAGTGTCAGGAGAGGAGCACGGGTGTGGAATACGCCGCCAAGTTCATCAAGAAGCGGCAGAGCCGGGCGAGCCGGCGCGGGGTGAGCCGGGAGGAGATCCAGAGGGAGGTCACCATCCTGCAGCAGGTCCTGCACCCCAACATTGTCAAACTGCATGACATCTACGAGAACAAGACGGATGTGGTCCTCATCCTGGAGCTGTGAGTAAGGGCACTGCCCTCCAGGGGTGGGGGAGGGCAGCAGTAACTGGGAAGCACTGCAGAAGCTGCCAGAATGCATCATCATCATCATCATCATCATCATCATCATCATCATCATCATGGCCAGGCTTTGGGAACGAAGATTTGGGGAGGGCTCTACCCACGTTTGTTACAAACACACTGGTGGCTAAAAAGGCCAATATTAGACAGGCACGACCGGTTGCAAAAGGCACAGCAGAGAGACTCCTTAGGTGGTAAATTCTGCAGGGCACGATTCTTTCTGCGGTGTCTTTTCCCCTCAAGGGTGATCCTGCTGCGTTCTCAAAGGCATCAGCAGCGTTAGAGATGGTGTGTCTCCAGGTCTCCCGATTGGAGGCTGGAGTAGACCAGTTATGTTGATCAATATGGCCAAGGCTGAGATGTTGTTTCAGGCAGTCCTTGTATCTCCTCTTTGGGGCTCCTCTCTTGCAACAGTCAGTGGCATGTTCACCACAAAGCAGGATCTTAGGGAGGGGGTGGTTGGTCCTTCATCCTGGAGACGTGCCCTGCCCAGCACAGCTGTGTTCTCAGCAACATGGCCTCAATGCTTGTGACTGCTGCTTGTTCTAGAACAGATGGATTGGTCACATCATCTGACCAGTGGATGTTTAGGATTGTTCGGAGGCAGCGTTGATGGAAGTGTTCGAGGAGTCGCAGGTGGTGGCTGTAGATGACCCAGGATTCAGATCCATATAAGAGAGCAGACAGCACTGTGGCTCTGTAAACACTGATCTTGGTGCTTTCCTTCAAGTGTTTGTTTCTCCAAACTCTTTATGAAGCCGGAACACACGGGCACAGATAAGGGAGCTGCTGCATTCCCAGGCCTCACAAGTTTTGGCAGGAGCACTGAGTGAGGTTGCTGGTAAACAGTCCCCCCTTTATCCGTGTGCCCTGGGGATACAGGTGCACCTTAATGGCAGCTGAGGTCATTTGACACTGAGCCAGGGAGTGTTGTCAACTTGAAAACAGTTTGCTAACAGAGGGATTACCTCATGTCTGCCTCCTGCTGCCCTGCCATGAACTTTGGAGGAAGTACAAGTGGCCACTGAAAGCTCATTTCATTTTCCCTCCTGCTTTCACGTGTGGGAGGCCATCAAACCCTTTGCAAAATTTGCAGCCATTCTCACTACTCCCATGTTTTCCACATTTAGATGAGCTAAGGGAAAAGAGGAGAGGAGGGCAAGGGAAGAGGTTTTTTAATCCCTAGTCTTTGACTGTCAAGGATGAATAGCAGCAGGATGGAAGGGAAGCAGAGCTCTTACTCCTCCCTCATGCCACCACGTGAGGGGGGCAAACCCCTGCCATTTAGGTCCTGTGACAAGTGAACCTCCTAACCAAGCAATCTGTGGGCTGCTGTAGCCTCACCCCACCATGCAAAGTGATGCAATTTTTCAGTGTGTGTGAGGCATGGAATACACAGTCACCATGGCTGAAGTGATGTAGACCATCTGTTCCCTGGGGAACCAGCCTTGACCTTGGGCATGGAATCCAGGCAACAAGGCTTTTATCCCTGAGCGAGATGAAGTAACCACTGGCTTTCTAGGGGAGCCAGCATTCAGGCCAGGCAGCATTCCTGGAGATTACTGGGACTGGAGGATGGCATATGAGTAATGATGAGCATCTCTTACCTTTGACTTCTGTGTCTATGGCCAAATGTTGATCTCTGCAGCCACGCTCTGGAAGACAGGAAAGGAACTTGCTTTTTCTGACTGGCAGCCACTTTGGGCTAAAACAACCTCCTATTTCATCCCCTTCTGCTTTTTCCTGTCCTCACGTGCCCTGACACGTTCTGTGTCCTTTTGTCAGGCTCTAACATACTGCTCAAAGTCTGGGTGCAGCACAGTTTTGACCTGATTAAGGCCTCTGCATTCAGCTGCAGTGTACAAATTGAGGATGATGATAATTGCTAATAAAGGTAATTAAATTGTCTGTAAATAGATGATCTCTCTCCCTCTGACACTCTGCTCTGTCTCATACTCCCTGCAGTTTATCAAGGTAAGCTTACAGCACCTGGCCAACCACTCTTATGTTGATCTACAGTGGACTTCAGCCTCAAAAAAATGTCCCCAGTATTGTTGGTTAATTGAAGAAGCTGCTCTGGTGTTTAAAAGAGGCTTTGTCCAAAATGTTGACCCTTTCCCAGACTCCCTGTGCTGGCACAGGCGAGGCTGTCTCCTCCTCACCCAGGGGTCACTCCCCCAGGTGCTGTTACTCCTGTCCCAGAGCAGGAGGAGCAGTGCCAGCTCCACTGCTGTGAAGTGCAGTGTGGCAGGTGCACAGTGTGTCCTTCCTTGTGCACACTGTTCAGGCATTTCCTCCCCACAGCTTTTTGTGACTTTGCTGTTCTGTGTCCCCTGGGCCCTGCCTGGAGCCTGCCCTGCCCAAACAGCAGCAGCAGCTGCCTGAGGCAGGTTTGATGGGCACCCCAGTCTCCTCTACTGGGAAGTGTCAGGGCTGTGTACACAAAGCAACTCCTGCCGAGAAATGAGACAGTGTTGTTGTTTACTTTTCCTTCCAAGTCCAATAAAAGACAAAGGTATCATTTTCTCTCTTCCTTGCTGTGGCAATAAGGTGACCTGGTGTAAGGGAAGGAGATGGAACCAGAGGAAGGAAATTTTCTGTGACCTTTGAGAAAGGAGCATTTGCAGGTGGTGATGTTCATCCTCCCTAGATGTTCAAATGTAACTTGTAGTGCAGTTATGAGTGTTGTACTGCAAAGGAACTGTGTTTTTTGGGTTGGTTTTTTGGGGGATTCCATAATGGCTGGCTTCTGGGATTGCTAAATCTCTTCTGCTTGAGGGTTTCTCTGAGTTCAGGTGCATAACATGGATAAGAATGATCCTGCACTAAACTGCTTACCACTCTCTAGGTACAATTTACTCAAACCTGGTTTTAAAGCCTGAGTCTTCTGTTAGTGAGAAATCATCACATCTCTTCTACTGAATTTTCCCTTGGATTACTCTTTTAAGATCTCTACAGCTTAGGCTAATGTGTTAGGCTATACTATAAGAGACTGGAGATTGTCATGTATGCCAGTCTCTGACCTTCAGAAAATGAGATGTTCATGTGGCTTTGGTAGGAGGGAGTCTTTTGCTGATAAAGTAACAAAAGGACTTCAAACTCCCTGGATCTTTTCGTGTTGCTTCCTGTTTTACTTTTAATGTTTTGTTCTGTACCTTGGAAAGCCCCTTCTCCAGCCTGATTCATGGTTAGTGTGAACTAGAGGGAAGTGGGAAAATAGATCAAGGAGCTCCCAAGTAAATCCCCTGTGACCTTCATTCTTGCAGGCTGCACATTTTCTTCAGGATGCCTTGGGCTTAGCTGGTTGCCCAGGATGTTGGTGAGGTTGCCACTGGGGAAAAATTCCTGGTGTGCCCTGAGCAACCAACCCAGCTGGTTTAAGTGACCACTCTCGGGGGCAGCAAGAGAGAAAGAGAATTAAGGGACCTCCAGTCTGGGCAGCTGAACCATTTTTCTGACATTCCTTTGTGTAGAAAAGGAGATTCCTCAAAAGGAAGCTCCCAGTCTCCTCCAAGAGGAAAGTATCCTCTGACATCCTTAGCACAGTCCTCCGTGCCAGGGCAAGGTGAGCAGGGGGGCTTTTCCAAGTGGCTCAGCTTCTGTACTCTCCTGAAGTGGTGCCTGCTTTTGCTTGTCCTGCAGGACTGTGTGGGCTCTTGGTCTGGGCTCAGAGAGGGCTGCTTTATTCTTAGGCCTGGTTTGAGTCCACCATAAGAAACAATCAGCAAGGAGATTTCACAGGATGAAAGAGGAAGAGAGAGCAGTGTGCCTACATGGTTAAATTCCAGCCAAGTACAAGAGCTGTCCCAGCCCAGGTGGCTGCCTGATGGCCTGATGCAGTGTCTGCCAGGGGGGATTGCTTAAGTGCACTTGGAATAGAAATAGTTGAGAAAAGGAGCCTCCCCTGCTCACTGACCACACATTTCACTGACACACCACCAGGGTTTTCTTACAGATTTCCTTACTGGTTTGTCACAGTGGGCTGTAATAATTTTTAAACTAATGAACCAAGGCCCCTAAACCTACTACAATATGGAAAGGAGGCAGTGTTCCCTTCCACCTGATATGCACAGAGTACAACAAAACCTGTCCAGCCAGGCTGAAATTAGTGCTGAGACCCTTGGGAAGTGTCACCTAAAAAAGAAAATCAGAGATCCAATGAGAGTCTCACAGGCCGAGTAACTGAGGTGAATAGAAAGGAGAAGAAGGTGGCAGTCAAAGACAGAAGTTGCAACATATTCCTGGGTTGTAAAAGCTTATTTTGGTTTGCCAGACAATTTGCCAGAGTTGTAACAATTAAAGCATCAAGTGACTCTGGCCAGGTGAAGTGAGGTCACTGCCAGCTGAGGTGTCCTGCCTCACGTTGCTTACAGAAGTTTCTGGCTATGTGAGAGCTGTGAAAAAATGCCCAGTAATCAATGCCCAGGTCCCCAGGCTCTGCCTCTGGAACAACAAAGTGTGTGTCACCCACAGCAAGAGCAGAAGTGAAGGCACCAGCACGATGTCGCTGTGGCTCTTGACATGTTGTCCTTGTTTGCAGGTGACTTGTCCTTGCAGGATTTGTAGCTGGTCTTGTGCTTGCCCTCTGAGTGTGAGCAAAGGTGGGTGGTCACCCTGTACCCAAGAGCAACAACTGCTTTGTGGGTAAATTTAAATGAGAATAAACCAATAATATTAATGACAGCATGAACTGGAAACAATAAATGTAAGCATGGTTATGAATAGCAGCTGCAAACAATCCCCAATTCGATATTTAGAGTATCTTGTTTCATAATGTATAGAAAAATAGCACTGGAACTCTCAGTAGAAGGCACAGAAGTGAAAATAAAAGTCTTGGGTACTAAATAAGGAGAAAATGTATTCCAATTTTGATGTGAAAATTCATAGTGACTAAGAGCACTTCCTTGATTTGGGAAAACAATTTTAGGTACCTTCCAACCTGCTGCAATCTGCTTTCTTCTTAAAAATTCAGCACCAAATAAATGCTTTCCTGTCAGTTATGTCAGGCAAGATTCTGTGTGAGAGCAGGGGAATAGCTGTTCTGCAAAGAAAAGGGATTCTGCTGGCAGGTCTTGCTGCCTCCTGGTTCTGATGGCCACTGCTAAGAAGTGATTCTTTAGCAGTTGTTGATTCTTAACAGCCTGTCCAAAATGAAAATGTTGGAAAATAGCAGTTGAAGTGGTTAAGTCAACCTATTGAAATAGGAACATGTCTGTGGATTCATCAGATAATGTAACTTCTTTGGGTCCTGTATAATCCTTGATGAATCAAACCTTACAGCATCAATGGAAAAGCTGGTCCTTAATTTCCAGGGGAGAGAGCTGAAGCCAAAAGGAAGTTTTGGCCCACCTGGGACCAGAACACAAACCCCATGGTTGTCTACAAGAGCAGCCTTTTTCTAACTGCCTTGGGGTTCTTTGCTCCTTTAGTTTTCTGTGCTTACATTTTATCTTATGTGTTACAATGCAGTAGATAACAGGTTGTTTTCTGGTGTGTTTTGCAGGGTTTCTGGAGGAGAACTTTTTGACTTCCTGGCACAGAAGGAGTCTTTGAGTGAAGAGGAAGCAACCAGGTTCATCAAGCAGATTTTGGATGGTGTGAATTACCTTCACTCTAAGAAAATTGCTCATTTTGATTTAAAGGTAAAGATGCTGTTTTAGACTTTAGCTGATCTCTAGTTGCTAGTTTTGGTATTTAGTGCCAGTAAGGTCAGGTGGTCACTGAAGATGTTGCAAGACATGCAAGATAGAAATCAGAAAGCATAAGTAAAGAATCATTTCACTGGTAGTGAATATTAAATAACCTAAAATGTATTCACATAATAACTCTCCTGGGTTTTAAAGGACTGGGTTTGGAGCTTTGTAGTGTTAAATAAGACATGTATTTTTAAGCAGTGATCTGATTAGACAGAGGATGATTCATCATTATCTCCTCACTTGACAGGGCTCCATCAGCTGCAGTGGAGCCACAGTGCCTTATACCACCTAAGGAATCAACCAGTGCCAGAGGTGTGACTGTGACTTTCTGCCATTTCAGTCTCTTCTGGCTGCTTTAAGAACTTTACATCCTGTATCTGTGGTGAACACATGTGCCCTAGATCCATGGAAGAAAAACTGACTTGTTAGCCTGAGGCTAAAACATTCTTGGTCTAAGATTATGATAATAAATTATTCATATGTTCTCTTTCCCAGTGTGGCTCTGACTGAGAATATGTGTTAGCAGGAGCAGTTTCCATGTTGGGATCTGCTGTGGGAAGGCCAGCAGGGAATCAAACTCTCACTCTTGCTCTTGAGCTTATGGTTAAGTTCTGACAAATTAATGCATTAAAGCTCTTCATGAGAGATAAATTGAACCCAGAGTTTACTCTGAAACCTGTGAATTGGGGCCATGGAGGGGAGCAGATAAGGCTGAGAAACTTGGTTCAAGAAAGAAGTTTATGACATTTCCCTTAAATCTGGTAAAAGAGGAAAGTCTGTGGTTGAACACGACACTTTTAATTTCACAGTTCCAGCTCCAGATTTTCCTGCAATGCTGTGAGGAATGCCACATGTTCTTTTAATAGCTTGCTGTCATATGGTCTAGGACCTCTGATCCCAACTCTACCCATTTTCAGCTGGTGAATCCCAGATCTTCCTGGCCTTGTTGCAGCTGTGAATTGTCTCATAGAGAAGATCATTTTCTCCTTCCCTAAATAGGTTCAGATGTGACTAGAATCCCTCAGGAAGCATTTAATAAAGCTTCTCCCAGTGGCTTGCAGTACAGTATAGAGTCAACTGGGCAGATGTTATGAAATATAAAAACCCTTCATCAAAACCACTGTAAATGGTTAGGTACAGGTATGTGTTTCTTGTTCTACAGTGTTGTGTTTGCAAAGGGAAAAAAAGGCACTTGAAAACTCTGTTACTTTCCAAGATGTTAATATTTTAATAACGTAGATCCATCTTTTATTTTTAGCCTGAAAACATTATGCTTCTAGACAAGAATATCCCTATTCCACACATCAAACTCATTGACTTTGGCCTGGCTCACAAAATCGAAGATGGAGTTGAGTTTAAAAACATTTTTGGAACTCCAGAATTTGTAGGTGAGTGACATGTTCCTTTGTCTTGTATTACAGGTTCCATGAGGAAGTTGAGACATCTCATTTCTATCAAGGTGACTTAAATCTAGAGGTTTGCTTTATTTTTCTGGGATAGGTGAGAGGTGCTTTCTATAAACTGGATGTGCTACTCCTGTGAGAGTAAACTGCTGCCAGATAAATGCTTAGAGATGTAAATTCAGGATTGAGATTGTGAAACTCTGCAAATACAAATTATAATTTCTTCCCTTGTTGCCTGGAGTAAGTAGATCTCCCTGTGTTGTGGTGTGTGAGTACACAGTGACATGGGTACTTCTAGATTAAAATGCCTCACACCGTTCACCTGTTGAGCACAAACCCCTCAACTCCTTCACATTTTACCACCTGATTCTCTTCTTGTTCCTCACTGATCACAGTTATTATCTGTCTCACTTGGATTTTGGGTTAATCCTACTTCTTTCTCATAGTTTCAATTAGAGGCTTTGGGGTTGGTCTGGGGAGTGAGGAGAGAATTGTAATTAATGTTCCAGTTAAACACAACTGTTGCAGATCCCTTTTTTCATCTTATTTACCCCTTGCTCTTTTCTCCTGCTTGCAATCTTGTGTGGGGATGTTTTCCAATGAGGAAATGTTTCCTATAAAACAGAGTTTGACATGGATAGCAATGTAGTCGGGCAAGTCATTTCAAACTCTTGCTCAAGAGCTCTTTCTGACTGGCCTTTACAAACTTCCTATAATGGCTCCAGTTAAACACAAAACAAAAGCTCCAATTCTTGGGGGCAACAATGTTCTTGGGAGGTGACATAATTTGTTATTTTTTGTAATTTGCACTGTAATTAGTGTATAATATCTGCTTTGCCCTTACTGTTGAGTTGCACTAAGCTTTAAGTTACCCTACATAATCTCCCCCCCTTTCTTCCTCTTGGTAATTCTTGTCCTGCTACTCCAGCCTGGTAAAAACACGTTATTTCATTGCTGATGTTTAATTAAATGTTTCTTACAGCTCCAGAAATCGTAAACTACGAACCACTTGGATTAGCTGCAGACATGTGGTAAGTTTTTTAGAATGTTAGTAATTTTTTTTCCAGGTTGCTCTACAATTGCTTTTTCCTATTTGGCTCTGAGTAGAATCCATTGCACTGCCACGAAGTAAAACAAAAAACTTAAATACAGCTAATTACTCTGTGTTCTGTCATGTCATTTTTATGCATCCTTTTAAATCAAAAGATAAATATTTAATTTCTGTGAAATTACAATGAAAAGCTTGAGTGCTGGCAGTTGCAGAGTTAAGTGTTTGCCACTGTCCACTGCAGAGCAGCACTCTTAGAAGAAAACAGTGCAAGCAGTGACTGCTTTTGATAGCTTTATTTCTAAGAGCACTTGGTGCAGAGGAGACCTGTGCACTAATCTCATCTGCTGAGAAGGCAGGCAAATGAGGTCACCCCAAATAAAACATCCTTTGCCTTTCTGATGTGTGCTGTAGTACCCACTAGAGCAGAAATACGTGGAGACTCCAGATACCCACATTACTTACTCTTACATGTAAAATTAATTCTTTCCCTGGAACACTGTCCTTTAAAAGAGATGTCAGCAGTTACCTAAGGCCACAGTGGCTCTCCTGCCTCTATTGCAGCTGCTAATTCACTTTTTCATATTCTGTACATTAGGAAGAACACAGGTCATGTATAACCCTTGCCATTGATCTCTTTGTTTTTTAGGAGCATAGGAGTCATCACCTACATCCTGTGAGTACAACAGCTTCGCCCCAGTGCAAGTGTTCCTGCAGCTCTCTTGCATTAGTACAGGACAGCTCTGCCTGCAGTCACCTGAGGACAGACCTGCACACAGGGGGTGGGCAGTGCTTTGTCTCACAGTGTTGCCCTGCAGCCTTTTCAAGCTGGAAATAAGGGCTAAAAGTAGGGGGGCACTCTGAGCAAACTGAGAGCAAATGGCCCCTGACACCACTGGGCACTTCTGCTTCCCGTGGGACCTCATCAGCTCCAAATGGCAGGGAGTGGAAAAGCCAAGCATATCCATTGCTGGTGGAATGACTGAGCTACCAGCATGTGGAGAGCATAGAAAGGGTAACAGCACCCCTTCCAAGGTGTGTCATTTCGGGTGGCAACAGGGAGGATTCAGTTTGCTTGTCAAGGCAGCAGAAGTCTAGATTATTATGCATAAATCTGGTCACCCATGTTCAATTTAAGCTGGAAAAGGAGCAGAAAAGTTGACCCTGGGAACTGAGAATTCAACTTACAGGGCAAAAAAAAGGGTTTGTTAAAGCTGGTAAAGCAAAGGCTGTTTGGGGATAGCATTATAGTTAAAAAGCACAGGGGGAAAAGTAGATCACAATGCTTTTTAGGCACAGATACTCTTTAGAAGAAAAGTGTGTCAACTGGTGATGAATAAATAAAAGGAGGAAATTCTGACAAGCTCAGGCTCTCAAAGAAGTGAGTTTGTGTGGGCATCTGGGGACAAGCAGGGAAGAGTTTTAAGATGGAGCTTAACAATTTGGGGAACTGCTTGTGTGACAGTGGGTGTGACTGAGGGACAGCACTCCTTGCTTTTCCTCTGGTTTGTTATGGGAATTGCAGAAGTGAGCAGTGGTCCTTGGACTAACTGCTTCCACTGAAATCAAGCTCCTGTGACTCCTGGGGAGCAGCACATGGTGGATATTCTATGCTGGGAAATGTCTCACCCTGGGCTCAGCTGTTCCCTGTGATACTCAGAGGACTGACCTGCTGCCAAGCTTAAAAAAGGGGGACTCTGGCATTGGGTGGATTTGCAGTGCACAGCTCGGGGCTCAGGACAAGTTTGGAGGCCTGAAGGGGAGGGATTGTCTTTTCAGTGTGGAAAATAAATGTAGTGGAATTAAATCCACTCTTCAGCTATACCAAAGGCTTAGACCTTGAAAGCTGTAAGAGGTATGGGCTGAGAAACCTGATTCAGTGCAACAAATTCCTTCTGTCCTGCAGTGCACAAAAAGAGAGGGATGCTGGCTGAGCCCAAGCTCAGGGAAAGGGGTTTGAAATGTTATCCAGATCCTTGTTTTTTATGAGCATTCTGGTCTCCAGTGACACACCTGTACTTGCCAGGGCATTAAACTGTGTAAATTCTATTTATGGGTGTCCATATATGATGAGAGGAGAACTTAGGAGTTGAGGATAAGCAGGTGGGAATGCTTGGCATGCCATGAATGATGCACAGAGCCAGCTGCTCTGGGGGTCCTTCAGTGGCATTGAGGGCTCTGTGCTGGGGCAGAGTTACAGGGAGAGTTTCTGTGCTGCACCCAGGGGAGGAGATGTTTTACCTGCTTGACTGGTTGTCATGGCCGTGGGGATTAAGGTAGAAAAATGTCTCCCTGCAAATGATCAGCAATAAAGAACATGCTTTGTGTCATGGGAGGGGGCAGCTTGCACCATAAACTGTGGACTAGGAATTTGCTTGCCTTCAACTATGTGACTGAACCTGGGGGTTCTGATTGACAGGAAGCTGAACATGAGCCCAGGTGTGCCCAGACGGGCAAGAAGGCCAATGGATCCTGGCATGGATCAGGAACAGTGTGGCAGCAGGAGCAGGGAAGGGGTTCTGCCCCTGTGCTGAGCGCTGGTGAGGCCACCCCTGGAGTGCTGTGTCCAGTTCTGGGCCCTCATCTCAGGAAGGACATGGAGGGGCTGGAGCAGGTCCAGAGAAGGGAACAGAGCTGGGGAAGGGTCTGGAGCACAAGTGCTGTGAGGAGAGGCTGAGGGAGCTGGGGCTGTTCAGCCTGGAGAAGAGGAGGCTCAGGGGAGACCTCCTCACTCTCTACAACTCCCTGACAGGAGGTTGTAGCTGGGTGGGGTTGGGCTCTGCTCCCAGGAACCAGCAGTAGGACAAGAGGGCACAGCCTTGAGCTCTGCCAGGGGATGTTTAGGTTGGACATTAGGAACAAGTTTTTTACCAAGAGAGTGATTGTGCATTGGAATGGGCTGCCAAGGAGGTGGAGTCACCGTCCCTGAAGATGTTTAAGAAGAGCTTGGATGTGGCATCAGTGCCATGATCTGGGTGACAAGGTGGTGTTGGGTCAAAGGTTGGACTCAATGATCTCAGAGGTCTTTTCCAACCTGATTGATTCTGTGATTCTGTAACTACTGTTGCCTGTTAATTTGAAAGCCTTTTGTTCTGAATTGTTCTGAATAAGCAGGGTGTGTTTGTGATCCTGCTGTAGCAAACGTGGCAGCAATCAAATGGGTGCCATCATCAGGTGTAGAGACCAAAATGCAGACAAGCCCTCAGTTCAGTAACCAGTGGAGTGATTCACTGGGCTTTAGTGCTGAGGTCTGTCTGCTGTTACATGTTTACAGGCTGTGAGTCAGGATATGACAAAAGTCATTTGCATTAGATATTAGAATTTGGGAATGCTCTGATTTTAGACCTCCAAAACTAGGTCCCAAAGAGAAAAAAAAATCAGAGTAGAGAGAGCACTGCTGGTTTGGGCTTCCAGCAAGAGGCCAGAAGGTGGAATTACAGCTACTTCACAGCTCAGTTTGGGGAGAGGGCAAAGAAACCAAGGCTCTAGACCAGCTTTCCAAGCTTTAGTTTTGGAACAATGCCTGTGGTCTGTGGTGAGGTGCCTGCTTGTAGCCTTCTTTGTGGGCAGCAGAAGTGGAACAAAAGCCTAAGAGGGAGTATGTAAAACCTGTTAAGAAATGAGAGTGACTGTGGTTAATGGCAGGAAAGTCACTTCATCAGAGACAGCTGGAGCACCTCACTCGTGCTGCCTTGCTGTGGCAGATGCTTTGGTGTCATTGTGCAATTGTAGAGAGAGAGAAAGCAGTTTATGCACTCAAATGTTTTATTCTATGGGGAAAACCACATGTGGTAGCTGGGGATTGGCCTAAAAGGCCAGGTGGTGCCATCCAACTTTCTGCTTGCCCCCCAAAATTCCCAGCCAACATGGTAGTGGCAATGCAGAGTAAAAGGTCTATTGAGCAGGATCATGTAAACAAGTGGTTTAGTACTCAAAAGTTCAATTTAGAGTTTGCTGCAGTCCTCTTTTGAGCCTGCTGCATCCTGAAACTGTGCTGTCAAAGCTGGACATAATAGATAAGCACAATAATAGCCCAGAAGATGATAAAAAAGGGATGAGATCAAATTCCTTGGTATAAATAACATTTCCTGTAAACCAGAGTTTTGCAAGTCATCATCCCTGTGTATTGGGGAGGGAGGAACCTGGAGGAGAGGCAGGGCAGGAGGAGTCTGCAGTGACTCTGCTCTGACACTCAGCTTTCATGGAGCAATGGTAAATAGAGTCATCAAAGATGAAGATCAACTCTGTCAGCTCATGGATAGTCCAAGCAGGAGGAAAGCTTTCTTTCCAGTAAGGACTGCTAAATGGCATTTTATTATGATGCTGTCTCCATTATATCCTTGCAGCTGGAGCAGGGTGCTGACAGAATGAACATTTGTGTTGTTCAGAAACTGTTGGATTTTATTGCAGCCAAAGTCCATTTGTCTGTGGATTCCTTTCACTGAGCAGCATGGCCCTAGCTCTCCAGTGGAGCTGGGCCTAGGCAAGGCTTCTGATCACACATTGTGTTTTGGAGCCAGCTGAGAGAGGTCTCTTGGCTGAACCTGGTGTGCAGGGAACTTGTGGGCAGCACAAGTAGGGGCAGGGCTTTTCCTACCTGAAGAAAATCTACAGAAACACTACTTTATCTGAAGGTGATAGAAGCTTCAGTCTCAGGGATAGAAACTGTCCTCAACTGAAGCCTCTTGTAGTTTTGTTAGCAATGACTTCAATGAGGCACTTAGGAGAGGGGAATGTGTGCATTCCTGTCTGGGTGCACCCATTAGTGCTGCACTAGAGACTTCCAGGGTGAGTCTGGCTCATCACCACAGATGTGGTGGGCCAAAGCTGGCCCTGTTGTTTCCCACACCAGAGCCACAAATGTCCTCAGAGTATATTACACAGTCACTGTCACTTCACCGGGGGTCTTGCTCTGTTTATTTTTCCAACTGATTCTTCCTTGTGGCTTATCCAGGCTTAGTGGTGCATCACCCTTCCTTGGAGAAACTAAACAAGAAACACTTGCCAACATCACAGCTGTGAATTACGATTTTGATGAAGAGTTTTTCAGCAATACCAGTGACCTGGCCAAAGATTTTATTCAGAAACTTCTGGTGAAAGATACACGGTAAGGAAAAGATCCAGAAAGATCCGTTTGTCTCTCAAGGTAAACCTGGTGAAACGTAGCCCGATGAGGTGTGTGCAAAGCTTTCCTTGCAGTTGCACTGCCATTCCAGAGCAAGGCAGGGGATGCTGCCCCTAGTTAATCACTGCCCCAGAAGCTCTAAGGAACCAAATCTCCTCAGTTAAATTTCATGTTCAGGACTGAATTCTCACCTGAGCCAAGCTGGTACAACAGGGTGTGGCTGAAGGGCTGAAAATGGTGTGCAGAACCTCGAGTTCAGGGTAACTCCCACTCCACTGTTTCAGTCTATTATGAACTACTTACAAGGAGGTGATACCATCCCAGAATATGCCCCCAGTGGTGCCATGCCAGAAAAATCTTTACATGTGCTGATATGGAATTGCTGTAAGTCTCTCTGCAGTCACCCAGAGTTTGTGTGACAGCTCTGCAGATCTTTATTCCCAGTTCAGAGGAACCACAGACTTCCTGCTTTTAACAAAGCTCATGCAGGAGTAGCATCTCCTTCCCTGTAACTTTGTCCTGGAGGGAAGTCAGACCATTGTGGTTCTTTCTAGTGGCTTCAGTGGGGGAGGCAATAGGTATGAGAGAGCTGTTGGTCAAGATTTCTGCAGATCATCAGACCTCAGAGTGGGGAGAGCTAGCTGGGGTTTGAGAGGTTTGGACAGGTCCTGCAGCCTCGTTTTAGGAAAGGAGAAGTCAGTGATGATACTTGTCCCACATCTCTGTGCAACACTGTGTTTCGCTCTTTGATTCTCAGTGCTCTTAATGTGCTGTTCACCAAACTGCCACAATGCAGGAGGAAGTTAGAATTGATCAAGTTTGATTAGGTTTAAGTATTGCTCTCAGAAATGTTGCTTTCAGGAAACAACAGCTCCTGCAGTGCTGTAATCTGTTCCAAAGGACAGCAGTGCTGTAATCTGTTCCAAAGGACAGCAGTGCTGTAATCTGTTCCAAAGGACAGCTTTGATACAATTACTGCTGTATCAAAGACACACTCGTATCAAAGGTGTGCAGCAAGAACTTATTCTAAGCATGTCAGATGAACAAAACAGATATTGTGTTACTTTGTATGGAAGGGTGCACAAAAATACAGGTAGGTTTTGATGAAGAATTAAAATTGTGTGGAGTGAGGCCAGTTACCCACTGCAGTTCAGAACAGTAACTAAACTACACAGAAGCAGCAGGCTCAGGGAGTAACAACCCTGACATTTGAGAGTTGGTCCTGGTATTATCCTGATAAATAATTCATAGGAAACCTGGGAGAAGGGTGGGTCAATGGACTCGTGTACCAGGAATTTCTCATTCAAGTCTGTGGGGGTTTTGTGTTGATGTTTTTTAGGAAGAGGCTTACGATTCAGGAAGCTCTGTCTCATCCCTGGATAACGGTAAGACTGCATAAACAAACATCCTGGTTTTTGCTATGAGCAAAGCAGGGATCATATTCTCACTCTTAGTGGTGTGTTACATGGAAAACTGCCCCCTAAGTGCTTAGTGATCCTGGGTGTTTCAGAGATCTACTGGGAACAAATTGGCTGGGTCTGACTAAATCCCTGGATTTCTGCAAATGCCTTCTTTTATCAGCATAACTTTCAAAAAGAGGGTGACCAAGCTCTGATCTTTATTGCACATTACAGCCTCCCAGATTGGACTGGGCTTTGCATTTTTCCATCCTTCTCTATTTGCATGGACACATGTGTTGGTTTCAGTGCTTTCTTGAACTGAGAGTTGACTGCTAGTCAGTGTGGAAAATGGATTTCTCTCAAGAGATAACTGCTGTGTACCACGTGTGCTGATTTGCTTACATTTTGTGTGTCCATACGTATTTTTCATCATAAACATTGCCTGCTTGTGTGGATAAGTCTCTTATTGAAAATACATTTAGCTAATCTCAGCATGACTAATGAGGATTTTTGAAGTTCAGTTTTTGCTTTGCGTTGCACAAAACGTTAATTGGAGTTTTTCAGGGTTGTTGTTTTTCCTCTCACAAGTATCCACAGCTTGAGACTATTAACTGCTAAAAATTAACATGAAAATAAGTTGCAGCTGCATTATTTGCTCTTATCACACTGGAATGAATGCACATCACTTGTCACATTTGTTTTTGGGCTCGTGTGTTTGGTGTCTTTTTTCTTTTACTCATATGCATGAAGGCAAGCCTGTGTGAGCAGAGGATCTCCCAACATTGTGGAAGTCCAGGCTGCATCCTCTGTGTGCAGATTTTGAGTGCCTGCCCTGTCTTGTGAACGCTCAGTAACACTGGTTCCTCTGTCCGGTGACTCGCCAGCTGAAAGAAGAAACCAAAGTGCAGGAGCCCAAGAAGGTTGGGAGCAGCCAGCTGAAGACGAAGCGGCTGAGGGAGTACACCATCAAGTGCCACTCGAGCATGCCCCCCAACAACACCTACATCAACTTCGAGCGCTTCGCCCGCGTCGTCGAGGACATTTCGCGCACGGAGCGCGGCTGCGGCACCTTGGCCGCGTCCCGGGACTCCCTGCAGGAGGACGTCGACGCTCTGCTGTCCATCTACAATGAGAAGGAGGCCTGGTACAAAGAGGAGAGCGAGAGCGTGCGGCACAAGCTGTCCCAGCTGAAGTACGAGTGCCGCAAGATCGAGTCCCTGAGGAGGCATTTGCAGGAGGACATCAAGGCCGTGGACACCAGTCTGGCAGGCGTGGCTGGGAAATACACTGGTCTGCAGGGCCAGTATGAATCCCTCAGGCAGGAACTCTCTGAGGAGCTCAAGTGGATACAGGATTTAATGAGCAGTTTTCAGCTGGAAAATGAAGTCTGTGCGAACAGAAACTTCGACTCTGTTTTCAGCAAAGATGTTAACGAATCACTGATGGAGCTGCTGAACAGATCTCGCTGTGAGGAATTCCTTGCAGGGTTGAATCTTGGTGTAGCAGAATCCCATCAGTGATGCTGAGATCAGGCTAGGGGCAGGGTTTGCTGCCTCCTTCCAGTACACCAGTTTGAAAAGGTCCCAATGTACAGATTCTCCCCAAAAACATCACCTAGAATTAAAGTAGAAGTTCTGAGGTATTGCACAAGGTGCTGACCAAAGCCATAATCTCCCAGTGCTTTGTAGTGTTGAAGGGTTTTTTTCTGTGTGTTTTTTTTTTTTTTTTAGAGTGTCTGAACTTGCAGGAACAAGGTTCTCACAGTGGTATGGACATATCTAAACCTACAGCCTTTTGTATTGCCTATATCATAGTGCATTGTGTATTACAGTTCCTGAAGGTACTAAGTTATCAACTTGGAATAAAGAATAAGTCAGCCTGTACTTACTAGAAGCTGGGTGCCTGGAAACTAATGCAAATCTCATTATAGTACCTTTGGTTGGCTGAAGGAAACAGTGCAGGGAGTCCTACAGACCACATGAGAGAAGTATTTGCAAAGGTTAATAACTCTGTCCTGTAAAACAAAGTAAACGGTGTAGTAATTTAACATTTACTGTGGAAATTCTCTATGAAATTGCTGCCAATGAAGAAAAGGATTATTTTAAAGCCAGTTGTGCAGGGTGAAGTCTTTTACCATCAGAGGTGTTACCTGAATTTTAAACTAAAGGATTCAGTTTTCTGTCCTATACCAAAGAAATCCTATTCCAAAGACACCAATGGGAACTTGTAATGATCAAATAACTGCAATTTTACAGTTCAAATGTTAATATGTGACTGAGAAGTGATATCATAGTCCTCTAGTTTGTTTTCTACAGTGAAGAAGATGACAAACTACAACTAACTTAATCTGTGGTGTGGGAACGTGAGACTAGTGCTCTTGCTGTAAAGATTTTTTTTGCCTTAAGTTTTAGAAAGTAAAAGAAAAGTTGACCCAAACTTGAATCCTGCCCTGCTGTCTTGTGTTCAAAGAAGCCATGTGGTCATACTGTATCAACCTGCACAGGTGTTCCATCTCATTTTTGAACACAGTAAATAGTTATTTAAGCAGGGTGCCATTGTTCCCTGCAGGTTAGTTAGAGACTGAAGATGTCAGGCTGCTGTGTGCTGTGGGCATTTGCTGCAAGGTGACTTTGTGAAGCTGCAAGAATCAGTGAGATAGTAGCTGATGTCCATCTAGAGTGGATCTTATATATATAAAGTATGTCTTTCACTGCCCCTCCTCCCTTCTCCTTTTGCAGAGGAGTTAATGACCTAAATAAATGGAATTGTTGTTGTTCCTAACATGATTAAGAAGAGTGTTTCCTACTTTGTGAGGACATGGCAGCAGGGGGGCCACTGTACTCTGCAGAAATTGGAGGAGAGTATGCTTTTATCTTTTTATCTCAAAGATGTGCAGAGGCTGGTGGGAATTCAGGGCTCTGAAAGCAGTTGTTCAGCTGGGGGACTGTTGCTCCTGTCACTGTGCTGGGAGGAGGATGGAGACTGGATGTGCTCCCTGTGGCCTCCTTCTTGGCACGAGATGTGAAATTCTCAAAAGCTTCCAAGTCCCATGGGTAGCCAGGAGATGACCCTGGCAAGCTGGTGTTGGTGGCTGGGGAGAACTGGGCTCTGTTGTGACAAACAGCACTGAGAGTTTTGTGTGTGTCCATTTTTTATTGTCTCCAGATGCTTCAGTCGTCACTCCTGCAGGTTCCTTTGGTTGGAAGACCCACTGGATGCTATCCAGGGAAACCAGAACACAGGATTTTTTTACGAGGGGGAGAGTTTTAATTCTTAAAATGTAACTTGAAGCCTAGTGAGAGTTCGTATTTGCAGAAAAGCCTCTCAGGAGCGAGTCTGCCCTCCCTCAGCCATGATCTCAGGTCATTTGTTCACACAGATTTTCTGTATGAACAAATGCACGATGAGAAGGACCATCAAATGAGGCCACTTTGGGTGAGGGTAATGTTGTTGTGACTTGTCCTGGAGGCTGGTTGACACAGTGCTTTTGAGAAGATGTTCTGATGTGAGACAGTGACAAGGTCCCTGCTTTGCAGGGTACATAAATGGAGGGGCATTATCCACAGGCTGGGGTAGAGTGAGCTGTTCAGTCAGCCACGGTTCTGCTGTGGAAAGGGCACTGGGACATTTTTCATGGTGATTGTACAGCTGACATTTAGCCAGTGACATTTTTTCCACTTCAAATCGATTCCTGCCAGCCTGTTGCACCGTGCTAGCCACTTGCAGCACGAGGAAATGGTATTTAGTGCTTCACTGTCCTGATTCTGTTGTGTCAGATGGTGTATCACATCTAAATGTGATGGTTGGCTCCTTGAACTGCTGCTGAGATACTGCACAGCTGCTAAACCTGCAGCAGCTGATGAGAAAAGGGCATTTGTAGTCACAAACATTTTCAATTATGTTGCTGAAAAAGATGTTTAAATTGTCACTGATGTGTCTTCCATTCTCCTTTGGTCCTCTTGCTGCTCCAGGTGCATGGCTTGGCTGCATTCCAGTCCAGTGCAAATATTTCTGTTATCCCCTCCTGCATATGCAGATCAGAACAGCTGGAATGGTTGTCACTCCATGAGCTGAGAAGGGTTCATACCTGGTCTTTCCCTTTTCACTTTTGCCAGATCTGGGTTTGAACCCTTCCTCCCCTCAATCTGTTAGATACAGTTCTCTGGTTTATGCAAATTTTGATGTGCTTTTGAAGTGGAATGTGCTTAATTTTCAGAAGGACTGTGTGTCAAGCTTTGTGGAACATCTGTTCCTTAACACCAGACTGAAATCCCCAAATGCTGGGCACATCTGAATTCTGATAGATATTCTTTTTTCTTCCTGTTTGCCATAGCCAGGTATTGCAATTCTTTCCTTACATATTTACTGCCAGGGTATCAATGTCTTGTGCTCTCATACTCTGGGTGTGGTTAAAGGACAAAGCCAGTGTTTTCAGACAGCATGTATCCCTGTCACCAAAACCAAATGACAGCCAACTTTTTCCCATGTTCCCATAGTGTTGTCACCCAGAGAAAATGCAGGTGGGGCAGGTGTGCACTGAGAATCAGCTTAGCAGCTTTACTAAGTGAAAGCAATCCTTAGCACCCTCTAGTTTTAGGATTTTTTTCTGAGATCAAAGGAGTCCTGTCCAGGCACAAGGTGGACTGGATTGAATTATTTTTCTTCTGCTTTTCCCTGTATGAACCCACAGCCTCCCCAGCCAGCACTCTTCAGCCAGCTCCAGTGCACGTGGGGAATTGTACATATTTTATGCACCAAAGGGAGCCAGACAATTAAATTGCTCTTTTATCTTCCAGCCCATGGACAAGCAACAGGCTTTGGTTCGGAAATCATCTGTTGTTAACATGGAAAACTTCAAAAGGCAATATGCCAGGAGGCGGTGGAAGGTACGGCGGGGAGCCTTTAACCCTCCTCACGTGGGGCCTCCCAAACCTGGTGGGATCAGAGGGCAGGACAGGGCTTGAGTGTAAAATTGCAGCAGGCAGCAGACAATGAGGTGTTTGGATGTGTCTGTGTGGACATGTGTGGTCAAACTGCCCCTCTTCCCTCTCTCCACAGCTTTCCTACCGCATCGTCTCGCTGTGCAACCACTTGTCCCGTTCCCTGGTGAAAAGGGTCCTGATGCAGGAGGAGAGTTTGGTAGGTGCATTTCCTAAAGGGGGAGAGGAGAAGAACCAGCTTTCCTGTGCAGTGGTTTTTGCTGTCCTTACCTGGATGCACAGCCCAACAGGACGGCAGCGGTTTGGAGTGGGAACCCTGATGGGACCGTGGCATCCTCTGTGTGTCTTTAATGGGCTGTGCCTGGTGTTACTGTGACAGGAATGTTGTGCAGGGAGAGCTGGTGACTCCATAAACCTTTGAGGTGCTGCCCACATTTACTGTGTGAAGGAGCAGCAGCTGATGTTCGGATCCCATGGCAGTGACCCTGCTGGCTGAGATACGAGCAGTCCTGGAGGGAACTTGCTGCTGCTCTTGTGCCCAGCTGTGTGTGATGGAGGGTGGGGGACCCCAGAAGTGCCTGTGACCTTCTGGAATGCAGCTGTGAGGGTCCTGTTGGCTCTGCTTTCCTCCACTGATGATATCAGAGCACCATGTGGAGCAGTGTGGTATCTCATTTACGTGCCTGAGACATTGTGGCCTTTCTGTTTCAGAGGGACTGTGAGAGTGACAGTGAGGATCTTTCCCAAAGAGAAGTTCCTCCTCAGAGGAGAAGCAGCATATCCTAATGTGAAGAGAATTCCATGGGCAGGAGACACAGGAGACTTCCATCCCTGCTGAAGCAAGCAGCCCTGAGTCACTGGTGTGATGCTTCTTGCTTCTCAAACAGCACCAACAGCTGGGTGATGGTATTAAATGTCTACTGAGCATCTTGGAAAACTGGGAAGCGAGATTCCCAGGGAAATGCCACAGCACAAGCACCAGTTGGAGTGCTTTGAGTGTTTCAGTGATACTTCAATCTGTTTGTGATGTTGGCTGCACTCAGGGTGTTGGATTTCTACTGATATTCCTTTCCTGCAGAATAATTCCTGTCCTGCACAGTGGTGAAGACTTTGTGCATTATTACTGTTTCAGTCAGGGAAATTGTTAGTGAGTTGTCAGGACATTTTGTAATGCAGTTTTGGTGTTTGTTAATAGCATGGATATGTGATGGCAGATCTCTGCCAGGGTTTGTTAGCTGTGTGCAGGGCTCTGTCACTGCTGTCACTGAGGAGAAAGTCCTGATATCATTGCACATCTTTGATTTTGGCAACAGTTCTGCACTGCAACAAGGACTGTGCTCTGGCTGAGGACTAACACAGCCAGTTGTGAGTACAACTAGTTGGGGCCACTGAGAGGATGACACAGGCCAAGGCAATTTTTGGATGAGAAAGAGAAAAAATGCTGTAGTGATTTACATGCACCCAAATCCAGTGTTTTTACAGGATGATGGCAGGATATTCACCAAAACAGGGCCTTTAAGAACCCCAGGTATTTGAAGAAATAGTCTCTGTTGGACTTTGTTATTGTTGTCAATGTTATTTATTGTCAGCAAATTGGAGATGGGTTAACACCTATTTGTGCAGGTGCTATTTACATGTAACCCAGACAGCAAACATCTGCTTTTTATTCAGGGGGTTGTATCCAAAATTGAGGAAGTGAGCACTTTGATACTGATGTAACATCTTTGCACTGGGAAGTTGCATCATTTTAACTATTATTAGTTTCTAAGCCAGTATTGTTCAATTGGTACCAAAAAATGTGTAATAGAATAGGTTATTTTTTTTCATTGAATGTGTTTGTTGTTAGAAATTCATATTTATTTTGCCATTTAATAAATTAAAAATCAGAAAGCCTATTAGAAACAACTATGGATGGACAAGGAAACTGGTTTTGTTTGGCTTTATGTTGGTCACTTCTAGGCTGAGGTTTTAGAGCAGAAGGTGTGAACTGGTGTTGAAAACTAGTGTCAGGTGGTTTCCAGTTTCTAAGAAAGAAATAAAAACATGCTACTTTTATTTATAACTTGGTATCCCTGCTTAGGTAGTGACTAAAATGCAGTTGATAAGAAAGTATTTCTGTGAAAGGAAGGGAATGTAGGAGAAGCATTGGAGAAGGGAGGCAGAAAGGAGGATTTGATGGAAGAAGCATAAAATGAAGGAGGTGGTGGGAGGAAAAAAAGCAGTGGGGAGGAAGGAGTGTGAGAGGGACACATAGGGAGTGAAGGTGATCCTGGACTGGGAAGGTTGAAGGAAGGGAAAGAGAATGTGGGTGCAGGAATTGTGGAAGCAGGAGAGTGGATGTTTCTGCCAGTATGGCACTGCATTTTGCTACTATTTATTTAATTTCCTTTTATTTCATGTCTTGTGCTGCCACTTAGCCTGTGGCATGTGCCTGCTCAAGGGATAAGGGGCAGTGCATGGGCTTCTCTTCACATTTAAGAGATGTATTTATGAGCTTTCTGTGTAATTCTTGAGGCAGAGCCCTCAAAAAGTGCTGTGTTAAGAGGGAGCAATAACAGGAAAACCTGTTGTTTCAGTGTGTCCTGGTTTCAGCTGGGATAGAGTTGATTTTATTGTTAGTAGCTGGTCTGTGTTTTGGGTTCAGCAGGAGGGTATGTTGATCACACTGATGTTTTAGGGGCTGTTCTGTAGTGTTTCCCCAAGTGAAGGACTTTGCTGTTTCCCAGGCTCTGCCAGTGAGGAGCTGCACAAGAACCTGGGAGTGAGCATGGCCAGGACAGCTGACCTCAATGGTCACATTCCAAAGGGACATTCCAGATCATGGAATGGTGCTCCATGTATGAGCTGGGGGAGCTGGCTGGGGCACAGTCACTGCTCAGGCTGGGCCGGGCGTGAGCAGATGTACTGGCATCACTTGTCTTCCTTGGGTGTTACTGCTCTCTCTTTTCCTTTTCATTATTGTTAATTATTGTTATTATTATTATTATATTTTGCTTTAGCTCAATGATAAAACTGTTCTTATCTCAAAGTAACCCACGAGGTTTAATGCCCAGGACGGGGGCAGTGAGTGAGTGGCTGTGTTGGGGCCTCGTTGCTGGTTGGGGTTAAACCACAACACGGTGTCTGGAGGGCACCTCTCACAAAGAGAACACTACAAATATAAAACCTGTCCAGCAAATTTTGCCTCCTGCTTTCCCTGGGATGTGGAAAAT